CCTGTCATCACAGACAGCGCCATCATGAAACTCCTCATCTCTTAGTGAAAAGGCATAGTGACAGATTAGATTCCTCTTGGCTAACATGATAATGATGTCGAGGAAATAGTATTTGAAAAAGCTGTTAATAACTCCTTTACCTTGTAATTTGAATCATTATTGGTGATACAGAAGATAGAAGTGGGGAAGTGGGGGGTGGTCACTGCACAGAGCTTTCAGAGGATAGCTCTATCATTACAGACTGAGGAATAGTGGACCCGAGGCAGCACTGAGGGATCCCTGACACTGCTGGCTAAGGATAAACATTGATTTGGTAGAATTAATTATCATAATGGCACTACACAAGGAACACAAGGGAGACACGGAGAAAAAACCTAAAGGCTAGGAAATCACAGAGTTGCAAAAATAACTAAGAACTAACGAATTAAAAAACAAAAAACAGAACCACGACAAAGAATCTAGAGCCAGCAGTCTTAGCCAATTATACGCCAGTATCCAACCTTCCTTTCATGTCAAAGAGTAGTTGTCAAACAGCTAACAGATCATCTGCAAAGGAATGGCTTATTTGAAGAGTTTCAGTCAGGTTTCATCACAGCACAGAAACAGGTTTAGTGAAGGTTACAAATGATCTTATCTGATAGTGGACTCATGTCAGTGTTTTGAACGGGTTATAAAACAACAGTGTAAGAACAGTTTCATGATGTAAGATGCCAGTTTTGACAAGTACAGACTAGTGGAGAGTCGTCTGGATTATCAGTGTAACGGTCTCATCCTTCTCTTTCTCTTTCTGTGTCCTTTTCATTAGAAACTGTCAATCCAACCCCCACATCACCCTGATTTTTTATCATGAACAGGCTTGTGTCCACATGAACATGCAGACTTTCCCCTTTGAAAAACAAACCAAAAAAACAAAGTCTTTTTACATAAAATGCACAAAATCGATCTCTAGCACTGTCAAAGGAAGGTGCTGATCGATAAAGCCTGTAAACGGTAACAAAGTACATGTAGCGTGAAGCCAGAAATATAAATGAATAGAAATAAAGGCACACAGCTCTCATGCATAAAGACTTGTGAGCACAGAAGCAGAGTTTATGACAACCTTCTCTCTGGAAGAAGTTTTTCCAAACTCTGTGCTCACTGCTCTAAACGAGCATTTACAT